CCATGACAAGAGGCAGCCAGTTTTGGCTTAGTTTATTTTTTCCCCGGTTTCGTGTCTAATGATTTGTGCGAGTCGAGATCGCTCGAGATCGCTGCTTGGCTCGAATTAATTTCATAATTATTTTAATTGGAGCTCTTGAGGCTTTCTGTGTTGCGAGAAGGTGTTTGCGAAGAATCGCCTTAATGGCCTGCACCACAAAAGCATATTTTCCAACCCTGCTGCTGGCATTCCTGGCGATTTTGGTCATCGCATGCTTGGCCAACTCTAGGTTTTTTTTGGTGCGAAAATGTATCCACTAATTCGGCAATTTAATTTAATTAATTAACGCATAAAGAAGCTTGCATTTGAGTGGTAACCCAATCTGATCTCTAGCCTTGCAGTAACTTTAGCCACAAAGCGCTGGCTTTCCATAGAAAAAATGATTTAGTATTTTGTGGTGGAGTGTGCTATGTGGTTATTTGAGTGGCACATGTAAAAAAAAATTGCTCAACTTGTATTCAATTACTATTTATGACAAACATTTGAAAAGCCAACCGTATGTTAATTATGCAGACACAATGAATCAGAAGACCCAACTCGAATCGAATTTCACTGTTTATATTAAAATTTCCGCCTTATTAATTTGTGGTGGGCACCCATATGCAGGCAGATACAGATGAATAGGCCGCAATTCAGATACGAATCCATCAGCGAACAATGCGTGAGTCGGGAAATGGTCTGGGGAATGAATCTGGAGCCGGAATGAGTGTGAGAAGCTCGCCCGGAATTCAGTTATCCAATTAAATTGGCAACTCAAGGGGTATTCGAGGGTGATGCGTATATATCTGGGGATGGACTATGCTTTTCGCTCGACAACTTACAATAATCTCCATCTTAATTTTGTAACTGACGAGAGCAGAGCCAAAGTCCACTGGCCACAGGGGCAGAGTGACACTGAGGCGTTGACAGGGTTGATGGAGAGCCCTTCACAAGTTTATCCAATTAATGAACTCTTGCGATGATGCCTCTTCAGTGTCGCAGATCAAAGAGATTTTGTGGCATTTGTGAGAGTTTCTAGCAAACGGGGTCAAAGCCCGCATATGTGCGAGCGTTTTTACGGCATACTTTTTGGCTTTGCTCAAACTATTATCTTTTAAATGCTCATTGTTATTGCACTATTTTTGCTTAAAGTTCAAATAACTAAGATATTTGTGTGATATGCAATATATTATTTAGTTATATTCCTCACAACTCTATCTATACTTGCTTTAAAATATAACTGCTATTTTTATTTAAATCTTTGTATTACTAAGAATTTACAGAAAATCTTCTTTCCTAGATTTTTGTAGAATGATGTCTCCTATTGCATTACGGAGATTGATTCCTGTAAACTTTAAACAGATTTAACATTAATAAAAGTCAATTACAATGGTAAAATAAAGTTTGCAATTCATTTGGAATATTTTATAAAATAAACAATTATATTTTGCTAGTTCTATGAAATTATGTGCAACTCCGGTTTAAATTGTTCTAAACCGTTACAGAAATTGAACAAGACGCGAAAAGTTCGCTTTTGCTGCCAAGGCTACGAGGGAAATCTCTCCGACAGTCAGGCCACTTGCAAGCCCATTTGCCGGGGCGGTTGTGGGCGTGGCAGCTGCGTAATGCCGGATATTTGCAGCTGCGAAGAGGGATATATAGGCAAACATTGCACGCAGCGTGAGTATATAGAGATGGCCGCCTAAGTCAGTAATTTAATGTGTTATTCGAAGGCTGTGATCACGATCGCTGGGGCCTGGACTGCAAGAATCTCTGCCAGTGCCAAAATGGAGCAGCCTGCGATAACAAATCTGGCTTATGCCACTGCATAGCCGGCTGGACAGGGCAGTTGTAAGTATTCAATTGTTTTTATATTGTGATATTAAAACAGCCAAACAAAAATCACTAGGGCTTTAAAGTAGTAATAAAGCTGTTTTAAAGGTATAGAAGACCTTTTCATTTATTTGTTTAATATTTAATTTTATATAAGTCTATACTTGTGTACATCTTTTCAAGTGATTTCAAAACCCAAATAATTTCTGTGCATTTATTTTTTAATTTTAATAGTTTTTCCATATTAAATTAATTTCATGTTTCTTTATAGTTGTGAACAAGCCTGTCCCCAGGGAACCCATGGCATTATGTGCCGCAAGGCCTGCGATTGCGATGAAAAGCCTTGTCATCCTCAAAATGGTACCTGCATTCTACAGGATCATCCGGTGGAGCTGAATGTGAGCCATGTCATCGTGGAGACTGTCAACTCCACGCTAGAAAAGATGGGTATTATTCCACGACCGACCACGCCGCTTCCATTACCAGAAGTTATAGTGATTAAACAACCTGCAAGCCACGAAAATGCCCAGCACTCGCCGAAGATCATTGTCCACCAGTCGGGCAGTGAACTGCTCGAGAATCTGCACTCGGCTGCAGCCGCTGGAGTTCCCACTCCGGAGGTCATCCATGTCATCACCAATGGGATAACCTCGCCGCAGGAACATTTGGCCGGATTTGTGGGAGGCGGCGACTTCAACTCAAGCCAGACGGCAGCAAATCATCAGTCCGGTTTGGTTACCACTCTAGTCAGCATTATGCTGCTCCTGCTGGTCGCCATTGCTGTGGGCTCACTCTACATTTATAGGAGGTATCACCACAAAAATTCAGCAGTATACAATGCCAACGGGACGGTGACAACACTGCCTTCGAATCCAGAGGTGGTTCTCACCGAAGCCGCTGCCCTGGGCAAAAACTTCCACGAACCACTGCCCGAACCGCCTGTGGTCTTTGCGGTCACGCCCCAATCGAACGACGGTATGTAAGTGTCTCTGCCGACCTTAAAATAGCTATCTACCATCTAAAAAATCAGGGATATACTACAATAGCAAATATATAAATATAAGTTAGAGTTGATAAATCTTTAACTAAATATTTGTAAACAAACTTTCATGTTATATTGCGGGCGTATTGAAGATTTTTAGACAGCTTTTTAAGGAACTTATACTGTGACCTTGTTTTCTCAGGCTTTTGGCCAAAAAACGGATTTTTCTGAAGGCCTTCGCACATTAAATTGGCCAAAATAGGACCCACAGCTAGAACTGACTGTTTGATCATTAGTCGGCTCACAACAAACAGTAAGTGTTTTGGCCAAATGACGAATTTTTTATTTTTTTTTGGCTAAAATGGGAGATTTTTTGTGACTTTCCTAAAGCTAGTTTAATTTTATGTATAACCAAATAAATTATGAATATCTTTATAAATTCCTGGCTGGTTCTGAATTATATTTATTAAGTTTACATTATACAACAAAGATTTTTCGGGATTTCGATTTAAGAGGAGAGAAATATTATTCAGTAATTTAATTACTAAAAAGTAGTCGGCATTATTAATAAATCTCTTTCAATTCTTCCACAGCACCACCAGAATTATATGACACGCCCAGCAACAACTCCTCGATTAAAACACCCCCCTACGCATACGCTAGGAAGGAGTCCCTATATTCGGTGGTCTCGCCAAAGTCGCGAAAGGGCAGCCTGGATTCGCATCTGTACGATGAGATTCGCTACCACCAGCAGCACCACCACCACCACAATCAGCACCACCCACGGAACCACCAACACGTCCAGCACTCCACCACTGCCTCCGCCTTTTTGCCGGCCAGACCGCAAGTGATGCCAGTGAATGAGCAGTTCCCCAGCGGAAATCATCATCCCCATCAGCGATCGCACCATGTCACCCACCTGATAATTCCGCCACAAAACTCCAACTTCTTGCAGGTGCCTGCCCAAATCACAGCCAAACGAATTGCCCACCTGTGAGGATGAGCAGAAATACTAAGCCAACAGTTTTTACCACAATAAAATACTTTAATGCTTTACCGAATCATATATGGTAATTTCATGAATTGTACAAATCTATTTAAATATATTTGATTGATTTTAAAATTTTCTTAAATTCTTCCAGTAAATTTTCTCTTTTCTAAGGATATAGTTATGCATAATATATATTTGACAGTTTAAATAATATATGTACATATACAAAATATTATACACTAATGTTTATTTTACTGGTTTGGTGGAACAGGTAATGCTGGCTAGATTGCCTGAATCTGATAAACTTTGTAACTATCTGGTTTGTCACGGAAATCTCTCTATTAAGTTAAACTTGTAAAGATCTCAGCGACCCTAAGATTTTATTTGGTTGGGAGTTTGGTTGGAAAATATTTCTGTGACACTCATGATATAGTTAAAGAAAAAGTAAAAGAAAAAGGTTTTTAAAAATTATATTTATGTATTGTAGGTGAAACGGTTATTATATTTGTAGCGTAGGTAAACAGCGAAGGCCGTAATACCCAGGCCTAGTCCAATTAATCCGAATATTCCTGTTGTTGACAACATATCCTTTCTTTCTCCATTTGCCAAAGGTATGTTAACAGGATATTGTGATGCCGTAACATAATCTTTCATAGAAAAGTCTTTTGGTATAAAGTCGACAGCATTTAATTGAGACACTTTGATTATAATAGTCACACAAGTTATTTGTAACAATAAGTTTATTGTAACCATTATTTTCTATTTATATTTCGGAGTATAATAAAACCGTGTTGACACACTGGGTACAAAATGAGAACTGGTAACTGATTTCGATTAGGAACCACTGCATATATTTAAACTACCCATATGGGAATCATGACCGATAAGAATTGGAGAGGAAATATTTATCAAGTGAATAAATAAAATTAAAATACATATTTTAAGTGTATAAATTGTGGTTTACATTTATCAGCTTAGCTTTAAATGCTTTTAAAACTAACTCCTGAAATTAAGTATCTCTGAAAATACAATTTCAAATGTTACATTAGGGTAAAATTGTGCTTTTCTCTGAAGTGTGTTTGTAAATTGTTTTATGAGAATGAGAGCCGATGCTGATAACGCCTTGCTAGTACATCGAAATCCCATGGCATTGCTCGTTCATTCGCTCCTCGACAGCGAAGCTCATAACAATAAGACGGCATGCACTTTAGTGGACCTTTGGTTGTGTTTACCGCTCTGCTGACTCTGGTGGTATTTCCTGCCCTGATTGAGGCCGACTCCACGGAGCTTTACGGGGACATTGAGAATCCGGGCGAGTTTGAGTCACTAAGTCTGACCCGCGAACGCCAGCAACATCTGTGCCATCGCGAGGTGCCGTGAGTAGAGTAACAATAGTACATTTTAAATATATATATTAATAGAAAATAGATCAAATTTAATGGCTGCTATTTTTATTATAAGAGTATGAATTGTAGTATATAGGTAATTTTACTAAGGGTTTCCCCTTTAAATTTATGAGATTCTCTGATTACAGCACTGTGTTTTTCCAAACCGAAAAGAGTTCCCCTGTGCGCGGCAATGGATCCACCATCTTCTTCCATCGCATAGAGATCTGTTGTGCGGGCTACCGCCGGGATCCGTATGCCCACGATTGTGTGCCAGACTGCTCGGAAACTTCGCCGGACAACTGCCGCAATGGCTTCTGCCGAAGTCCGGGAAACTGCGAGTGTTTCGAGGAGTTTGTTCGCAACGAGCACGGTGCCTGCATACACACTTGTCCGATTGCCTGTCAAAATGGCAGGTGTTATTTGAACGGCACCTGTGCCTGTCATGGTGGTTTCGTCCTCGACCAGGACACCCGTCAGTTCTGCCGGCCGCAGTGCTCGCAGGCATGTGGTACACACGAGGAGTGTGTGGCCCCCAACCAGTGCGACTGCTCCCCCGGTTACCGAAGAACCCCGGACCTAGGATGTCAACCAGTTTGTGCTCCGGACTGCGGATTTGGCAAGTGCGTGGCGCCCAACCAGTGCGAGTGCTTCGCCGGATTCATAAAGCGTCCCAACCGGAATGTCTGTGAGGCGGAGTGCTACCTGTAAGTTGATTGCTTTTTATTTATATTTTTACAACCATTTACAAGTAGATAGATTGACTTAATCACATTTAAAATATTGTGCATAATATCAGAAAAGGCTAGAGAGATTGTATTGTGATGAGCAATTCAACATTATTAAAACTGTCAAAATTGGACATTTTTTTTATTTCAATAACTTAATTTTTCTTATTTTGTAAATGATCAATTTTATTTAAGTTACCGTCTTACCTAAATGGCTTGAGACATAACTTTTATACATTATTTTTTAAATAATTATAAAATGAAAAATTTTAAAATCATTATATTTTTAAATTTCGGCAATGATAATAAATTAGTGTACTAATATTCTACCAATCAGTCTTTAAAATAACAATAATTTTTTCAATTTCAAAACACTCCCAGAAACTGCGAGAACGGATTCTGTGAGTCGATATACAAGTGCCACTGCCGTGAAGGATACCGCTACGACCTGAACACCACCAGCTGTCTGCCGCAGTGCAGCGACAATTGTGGCCAGGGAAATGGAGTGTGCATTGCACCAGGAGTTTGCCGCTGCTTTGCAGGATACGAGGCCCACGGCAGCGAGTGTCGGCCCAAGTGTGAGAGGTCTGTGTCGAGGGGCCAAAGCTTCCCGCTTTCATGTCCTTCTTATTCCACAGATCCTGCGGCAAATACGGTCGGTGTCTGAGTCCCGAAGTCTGCGGTTGTGGCCAGGGCCAGCAGCATTGCCTGAACGGAAGGTGCGACGATGTGGGCCATTGCAGCTGTCCTGCGGGCGAAACGCACACCATCGATCGCTGCTGGAAGCCAGACCATTTTGGCGAGCAACTGTACACCAGCGAGAAGAGAAAGCATTTCAACAGCCAGCTAGCTTACGAGTTCAATGCCCTGATCGGACGTCTATTTAATTTCAACTGAGAAAAAACAATAAAAACTGTGAGTCCTACTTAGACGGCCTGGCACGTCAGGCGTCCCTTGATGCCGCTCTTGATGAATCCCGGCCTGCAGATGCAGAAGTTGGGGGCACTGCAGAATCCATTCGGACATCCCTGGGGGCAGTGTGGTTGGCAGATGTTCCGCTGGTGCTCGTCCTTCACATATCCCGTCCTGCACTCGCACTGGTTGTTGCCCACGCAGACGCCGTTCAGGCATGGCACGTCGCACTTCGGCAGACACTCGGACTTCTTCCGGTCCCACTCGAATCCGGTGGCGCACTCACAGATGTCCGGGCCAATGCACCGACCGTTCTTGCAGGGACTGCGGTTGGGAGATACAATTTAAAATCAGTTTATTATATATTTATAAATTTGCTACACCTTAAAATTAAAGTATAGGTTTAATAGAAGAGTTTTAAAAAGTATAAATTCATTACTAAAAATATAACCTCTTTTTTTTAAACTACTTTATCTTTGAAGATATTAAGTTATTTAAAGATAAAAAAGATTGAAATTTTCCTAGAGGCTCTTGAGTACATGTTACAAAGAAGGCACACTACTTACATGGAGCAGATGGGCTCACAGCGACCTTGGAGCTTGAGGTAGCCGCCGTTGCAGTTGCAGTGCCCCGGGGCCGTGCACCTGCCATTCTCGCAGGAGTCGCAGACTGGTTCGCAGGATCCGTCGGCGGCCAGGCGGTAGCCTTCGAGGCAGGCGCACTTGTTAGGCGCCACACAGCGGCCAAAGGAGCAGCCCGGATTGCACTCCGGCTGGCAGTACTTGCCGGTCACTGGCTCCAAGGAGTAACCTTCGCGGCACTTGCACTCGTTCTTCTCGTCGCAGGACCCATTGCCGCAGCCCAGGGGGCAGGTGGAGATGCACTTGCCCTCGGAGGTGCGCACGTGGCCAGGGATGCAGACACAGGTGTTGGGCGCCGTGCAGATCCCGTTGGGACAGTCGTCCGCGCAGATGGGCTCGCAGCGGCGGTAGATGTGCGGGTTGCGCTCGTAGCCCTCGCAGCAGACCTCGATGCGACTCATGTCCGGCGTGGTGCCATTGCCCACGAACTTATCTTGGGAGTTGCGGAGTAGCGAAGAGGTGCTAGAATTCAAAATAAAATAAAAATAAGAACAAAGCTTTTAATTAACCTTTTATGCATTTTCATTCCAGAAATAATTTCTTCAAAAGTTTAAGCACCAGAAATTAAAAATAAGGACCCACGTTTTCTCATAACTTCAAACAATGGAATTTATACTACCTACGGTCAATAAACAAATTTTAGTTTATTGAGACCTTATATTAAGCTGTAAATGAGTTGTTATAGAGAACTTAAAAAGAGAGTTTAAACACAAATTAATTTATACAATATCTAATTTTGAAAGTTCCAAACACATTGCCCATTAATTCCAAAATTTAACTAAAAAGCCCAGACTGTTAGCTTAACGCTTATCTACCAACTTTCTGCTCGTTGCACATTAAATTCATTCACATTATTAGCTTGGCATACATATACTGGTGAAATCAAGTCGCATTTAATTATCAGGCCAGAGGAGGAAGTTGAGGTCGTTAGTTCACTATTTTAATTGTTTGCCTTGTTTTCGAATGATTTCCGAATTGGGCGATAACTTAAAGTACATATGTTTTCCACCCGATTGGTATTATTTGTGTGTGTTTTCCCCGAAACTTACGGAACATCCTTGAAGCAGATGCCGCTGGCCATGGCAGATCGGGTTTTGTTGATGAACAGGGCCGTTGCATCGAGGATTTGGGGGGCAGGCGTGCGATAGGCCGGCGGAGTCACTGCCTGCACATAGTGTCCATAGAGTGGCGGCAGAGTGGTCGGTTGGTATGTCTCGGCGGGCACAAATCCACTCGATTCCTGGCCCACACGGTTTTGACTGCTCCAGCCATACTGGCTACCCTGGTTCTGACTGCTGTTCCAGCCATTGTTAATCTGGTTCTGACTGCTGTTCCAGGCATAGTTCGTTTGGTTGTAGCTGCTCCAGCCAAACTCACTATTATTTTCGGCCAGCTGTAGGTTTCCGGATGGCGGCTGGCGCGTTTTGATGCCAGAAGTCTTGAATTGCCCCTGAACCAGGGCACAGATGGCCATCAGAACAGCCAGGGACAGCAGCTGATATAGTGATGACCTCATGGTGATGTCACTTGACTACGGATTACAGATTGGGTATGGAAATTAATAGTGCGCCCACGACCACGTCCGCTGGCGGCTGTAGTTGCACTTCAACTAATCGACTAATCGACTTCCGATGCGAAGCTGCCGGTCTCTCAGTCGCAAATCGCCTCCGACGACCTCTTGTCCCCCTCCTAATCAGCACCTCGCCATTGCCATTGGGACCTATCAATGAGGCAAACGGAGCGAAGGTTTGCTCTCACGCCGATGAGGCAAGGCAAATTGGTCACTTCTATATTTTGCGACTCGTAAACAAAATGTATTGCCTTTGAGTAATTCCAAGAAATGTTGATGACTTCAGGTACTCGCGAGAACGTTTAGTGGAGATGAACGGTGAGCACTGAAGTCGCAAAGCCAGTTAATGACGATCACCCAGTTCATCAAGAAAAAAAATATAATGAGACTTTTACTCTTAGACTGCCAAATTGATAGAAAGTACACAATGAAACTATATAATATATTTAAAAACATTCCGTTTTTTTCTTGTGTATTAATAATTAAGCAGATTGTTGTGTTTAAATACTTTTTAAGATAAAAATAATGGTATAATTCTTTTCCTCACAAATTTCTTCCATCTGGTTAGCCCACAAAAAAAAAAAATATAAATATAAATGTAAAAAATATAAATAATACGTTTTTTAAGAGTTTTTTATTTCTTTATCTTCACAATCTTGTTTCAAATCCTTTGAATTATCTTGACCTTTGCTTAGATCAAAATAGATTATTAATTGACAGCTAATGAATAACTTAATTTGGTTTGCTTATGTATTTTTAATTAGTTATTCAATTCGGCACTTCCCGTCCCTCCGGTCGTATCCAGGAGCACACTCGCAATTTCCGGGCGCAATGCACACGCCATTCGAGCAATCCTCCCTGCAGATGGGCACACATTTCAGGTTTTGGCTGTTGCCCTCGTTCACATAGTCATCGCAGCAGTAGGAGATCTGTCGTTTTCGGGAATTCGGATTCACGGTATCCACACTGAAGGGAATGGGATATTACGTCTTCTTCTTTCAATTCGAATGGGTTACTTACGTGAGGGACTTGTAGCAGATTCCGGAGGGTCTTTTGGCCAGGGCTTCATTGCGCCACCATTGAGGAGCGGGATTTGCCAGTAGCCAAAACTGGGCGGCGCAGGGAGTGGGTAGCTCGATCCCCAAGCCGACGATAAGAAGGCCAATCAGCGTGGATGTCAAGTGCATTTCGCCAAGTCGGTTTCAAACTGAGAGTGAGGTCGGCTCTTGGAATGCGAGCGCAACGCTCGTCAACGTCTCGGAGCTACTAAATTGTCGTCTGTGTCAAGCTCGGCTTTTTAAGTGTGCGGAGAAAGAAATGTTCTATATTCCTATGAAGATAATTACTATTTCAGTACCCGGCAATCGTGGGGTATATTGATTTGGCGAGGAAATGCAACCTTATAAATTGAAAAACAATTTAAATTGTGTTCCCCTTAGAAACAATTTTTCTCTGTAATGCAATACATTTATATTTATAGTGAAGTGGGCAGTGGGTACCCATTATTCGACTAATGTACAAAATAAATTAGAGTCGCTTCAAAAAAGACCAAGCCCCAGAGATGTAACCACAATATATGCATAGAGTCCACTGATAAGAGCGCGGCGGTTGAGAAATGTATGAGTATTTATTTGTGATTTCTTTGTGACTCTGAAATAGTAAGTGTGCTTTAGTGGGAGAACACTGTAGGGCTTATCTTAAAACCACCACATTTCGCTGTGAGTGGTCAAGTTGAAGTGCCTGCCGAGCAGCAGATTGAATTCCTGGATGAGCGAGCTGTTCACCCGCATGGTGTTCAACGAGGCGTATGTGGTGACCGTGTCCGGCGACATGCACCTGTCTATGAAACGCGTCTTGCCCACCTGGCAGCGGCATCTGCCCATGGCGTTGCACAGCCCGTACTCGCACCGCTGATAGGTCTGATCCGGACCAGGGACGACGGCACATCCGCACACATTCGGTGCAATGCACTTGCCGTAGAAGCCACAGCCACCGGTGCAGACCGCCTCGCAACGCTCCCGATTCCGGACGTAGCCCTTGAAGCAGCGGCAGTTGCCCGGCGAGATGCACACTCCGTTCGCGCAGGTGTCCCCGCAATCCGGAAGGCAGCTGCTGGTGTTCACGTCGTAGCGATACCCGTTCTGACACACACACGTCGTGTAGTTCGCACAGAAGCCGTTCTCACATCGCCTAAAAGATGGTTAGAATTGGATGAACCATGTCAGCTCTAAAAGATTTTTAAATACATCGGACTAGTTTTAAGCTTCACTCTTAATAGTCCTTAAACATTAATAATATTATAATAATTATTATAATAATTATTATATTAAAAATCATAAATATACAAATTTGTGTTAGTAACTTGTGGTTTAGTGAAGTAATTAGTTAACTCACATATAGCAGGGACTTTCGCAGGAGCTGCTGTTTTCTCGTTTCTGATATCCGGGGAAGCACCGGCACTCGTTGGGTCCGACGCAGTGGCCATAGCCGCAGTCCGGAATGCAGATGGGCTGGCAACCGAGGGCCGCAGATTCCCTCAATCCTCGGGCATATCCCTCGGCGCAGGAGCACTTGCCTGGCTCCAGGCAGACCTCGTTGTGGCCACAGGTGGCATTGCACTGCGGCTGGCAGAACCTCCGCGATCCATCGAGTTCATACCCCCGGTCGCACTTGCAGGTGCCATTCAGGTAGCACCGACCATGGGGACAGCCCAGCGGACAAGTGGGCACACAGTTGTTGCGGTAGTTGAGCACAAAGTCCTCGAAGCACTGGCAGATCCCTCCCGCCAAACAGAAGCCGTTCTCCTGGCACCTCTCCCCGCAGTCGGGGACGCACTGGCTCCAATCGTACTCGTAGCGCCGCCAGCCCTTGCAGCACACCTCGATCACGTTGAAGTAGCGATTGTTGGTGCTGTTGCCCACGATCTTCACCTCTTTGTCGTACTGGAAGAATACGGCCCTGGAAAAATCACATTGTTTGGTGAGAAAAAATATATTTAACGAAAACAAATCTGTATGTGAAGCACATAAAATTAAATAGACAAAGTGACTGAAACAATTTAAATTTGTATATTTTTACTCTAATTTATAGTTTAAGTGTGTTATTTATATTTATGGTTTATTTTTCCTACTTAAATATGTGTTTTTGCTGACATTTTGGACCATGGATTAATATTAGTCACTTACCTTGGCTTGGTGGTATAAAATCTATTAAAAAAAAATTTAATTTCTTTAAAATATAAAAGATTGATGAAATTATATAAATTTTCTAATTTTTGTAATTAATTTATGTTTTAGGTACAATATATCAATAAAAACAATTTGATTCTAGAAAAAGAATATGTTAATTGTGTGACAATAAGGACCTTGCATTAGTAGATATAATATTGTCTTTATTTGATAAGAGTAATTCTGTTTTTATCACTACAAATATTGTAAACTGAAATAATATGTGTATGTATTTAGCATCGAACGATGGTTTTGTCTTCGTGCCCCACCCACTTACGGCACTTCCCGGTGGCACTTGTCCGGATGTTCGCCCCGCCGGGGCAGCGATAGTCCGTTGGGGATCACATAGGGCTTGCGACTGGTGGTCGAGGAGGAGAGGCGCCGCTGGTGGGCCTCGTGCTCCCGCTGGAGGTCGCGCTGGCGCTGCTCCTCGCGCAGGCGCAGCTGCTCGTCCCTTTGCTGCTGGAGCTGCTGCTCATGGAGTTGTAGCTCCAGGGCCTGCAGCACGCAGAGGAACAGGACCAGGAGCACCGACTGGAGGCACAGTGAGCGCAGAAGTGGCGACATGGCGGCCCTCGGACAGACTTATTTGTGCCTCGCTACCGAAACGCTCAAGTCGCAGTTGTTTACTGCCTGCAGTTGGGCCAGCCTCTAATCACAGCCGGAGGCAATGATAAGAGGGCTCACAGCCCACATCCCACAGCTCACTGCTTTTAATTCGGATCGAGTGGGAGAGATCCAGGGCTTGCCAGGCCAATGTATGTCAAGACAGAACGAACTAAAGATTGTTTTATGGGGTTTCATTGCTAATTGCGAGACTTCATGTGATCTTTCAACAGTACATAGAGCTGGTAGTTAAGGGTAACGAAAAAAAAATGTTTGAAATTTGTTAAATTTTTTTTTTCGGATTAAAAACCTTTTTTATTATTAAAGAGAACATTTTTCAAAGGTCAGTGTATAAAAGTATTTATTATATATCTGAAGGGGTATTTAATTGGAAAGCATCAATATCAATAATTGAAAGAAAAAAAAACTATTTTTTTAAGTGGGTACAAATAAGTCGATCTTCTCTATTTCGCCTGTGCATAGAATATAGCTTTTCTGATAAGACAACAAAATAAAATTTTTTAAAGCGGCAAAAAATAGTAGAATTTCAGCTGGCAAATTGTAAACACACTGAAAATCGAACCAAATCGTGCGGACTCTCAAAATGTGGCTACGAGATGTAGGCCTTCGTCTGAGCTTTTTTCAGCTCATGATGTGCTTACCCACCATTTACACCAATGTGCCCAATTATTCGGATCAATATAGTAGAAGATCTCAGCATCCAGGTGCGGGTTCCTATGGCCGCGAGTATTCCGAAAACAGGCAATTGTCCTTTAATCGACCTGGACCAGTCAAATTCGAAGATCCCAGAATCGCTGAACAGCAACCGAAACGTCGCGAGTATTTGATTCGAGCCCATGAAACGCCGTCTGTAGCGGGGCAAAACAAGTGCCGCATTTGGGTGCCGTAAGTTTTTGGAAGTACACTGCAAAAAAACACAGGTTACAACAAGCTGTGGAAGTTTTTGAGTAACAATCTTTTTAAAAAAATGTTGAAGAATTATAATTAAGATTTATTAATCAGTTTTTCACGCTTTTTGAAAATATTTTAAGACTATTATTTATGCGTATATATTATGTTAAAAAACTCCCGACTTTGGGATAAGTTACAGTTGGTTTTCATTTCAGAAAACGAAAACCTATGAAACCTATCAAAAAAAGTTTTAGATTCTGATAAATCATGATGATTGACTTCAAAGTTATAGCTGCTCAAATTATTTTTTTTTATATTTTAATATTACAGAAAAATATTTTGTGTTTTACTTATAGTTACTTAAACGTTTTGTTTTGCTTGCTTAAGTGCTTTTACCCTCTTATTGCACCTAAAAAGTCGAATTTAAGAGCTCTGTTTAATCTCTTTCTCACCCACTTTTGCAGACCGGATACCGTTGAAAAGTACTCGCATCCCAGCGTAATCCAGGCGGACCAGGCCAACCGCCTGTCCATGATCGAGGTGTGCTGCACGGGCTACTCGGCCAGCAGGCTGATGGGCGTGACCGTGTGCCGGGCGCAGTGTGGCTGTCAAAACGGGAGCTGCCGGTCGCCGGGCGAGTGCGAGTGCTACGACGGATTCGTGCGGAACGACAACGGCGACTGCGTGTTCGCCTGTCCGCTGGGCTGCCAGAACGGGCAGTGCTTCCTAGACGGCAGCTGCCAGTGCGATCCGGGCTACAAGCTGGACGAAACGCGTCGCTTTTGCCGCCCCATTTGCAGTAGTGGGTGTGGCAGCAGCTCCAGGCACAACTGCACCGAGCCGGAGGTGTGTGGCTGCTCCAAGGGATACCAGCTGACCGACGACGGATGCCAGCCCGTCTGCGAACCGGACTGCGGAATCGGCGGTCTCTGCAAGGACAACAACGTGTGCGACTGTGCACCGGGTTACAAGCTTAAGGACGGTGTCTGCCAGGCCGACTGCTACCAGTGAGTCATCGAATAGTTTGCGAAATCTCCCATTAATTACCAACTCTTAATTTCTTCCCTTCAGAAAGTGCAGCAATGGTGTGTGTGTCAGCCGAAATCGGTGTATCTGCGATGCAGGATTTACCTACCATGAGCAATCTACCATGTGCGTTCCGGTCTAGGCAATCAAATTGTTTGTTATTCGGTTTTGATCTTGAGCTTACTCTTACAAAAATAAAACGACCCAAGCAAGAATTCAAGCCATTTTTTTTGTCTTAAAAGTGAGTCAAAGAAAACATTTGCTTATCGAAGAAGTTTATGTTTTTTAAGCTCGCTGAGCTACTTTGCAGCGATAAGGCCTAACGACTACATCCTGTACCAGCCGAAACTGGAGAATATTAGCAATGCCAATTGCGTCATCAAAAACAAAAATATTTCTTAAAGTTTTTATAGAAATTATAACATTTTAATATACTTGTGAAAACTAATTATTGCACATTTTAATAAATTTTTCAGTTAATTACTTTGATGGAAACGCTGATGTAAAGCGAATTAATTGATCAAGATTTGCAACGCTCATATATTTTCACATTTTGCAATGCAGTTTTATAGGATTTTTTTAGGATCAGCTTATTAGGAAATCAAAGTTTTAAAATAATTAACTTTTTGATTGATGATAGCGAATAATACTAATACCCATTAACTCATCAAAAACCAAACATTTTTTTTTAAGTTTTTACGGAAATTATACATCTAATACATACTTGTAAACATTATTTATTGCATATTTTATTTACTTTGGTTTTTGCATTGGAGTTTTATTAGAATTATTTAAATGAATTGAAAGTTATGTGAAAATCCAAGGTTTTAAAATAACTGTAAATTAAACAGTTTTTAAATTTACGTCTCTAAATTGGTTTGAACTGAATTGAACGTTGTTTGGATTGGACGATCTGCACTGGCTTTTGACAGAATAGGACCCATTTCGGCGCAATATGAGGTATATGACCAGCACTGCAATAATCACAGCAAGCACAATGCCAAAAATCCAAGAAAGCGAAGGTGACCACCCACGCTTAGATGGGGGCGCAGCTGGTTCCGTCGAAGTCGAACTTGAATCCGTAATTAAATCAGTTGTTGAGTCCGTATGTGAGTCCGTAGATGAGTCCGCAGATACATCCGTACTTGAATCCATAGTTGAGTCAGTACTTAAATCCGTTGTTAAATCTGTAGTTAAATCCGTAGATGAATCCGTAGTTTTCACCAAGGACTCATCGAGCCACCATTGATCGTGATTCCGGCGCACGGCAGCAGTGGGAGTGGGTAGCTCGATACCCATGCCGACGATGAGAAGGCCAACCATCGCGAATGTGAAATGCATTGTGTTAAGTTATAACTGAGCTCTGAGGTCGGATTGAAAGGCGAACTGCTCCGTCCAGTGTCCAAAAGTAAATTAAACTTTTAAAGAGGTTCTGTGAAGCTTTTATGCGACAATTTCTGCGCATGCTTCAATTTGTCATTTATTCATTATTATTTATCTCAAATATAAAATTAGAAAATGTGGCACTTAGCACCACGCAAACATAATAAGCAAAAAGTAAAGAGAAGAAATTAAACAGATTGCTGAATTTTCCAATTTCTCTAACGCACTCAATACAAATGTGTCACAACCTTTTCACAATAACTGTTAAAACTGAAAAATTTGTTTGTGGGGATGTCTCCATTCGATTTTGTATTTTTTTTATTTTGAATGATAAATAAAGTAGGCAGTTATCTATAACTGATCTGTAGAGCTTGCGATTCATGTTTTAAATATTTGAATTTTTGTTTCAGGAACTTTGAAGTACTAGGTCTTTTAGGTGAATTTTGAAAACCAACAATACTAAAATCTTTAGAACCCACTGTTTTTCGGAAATCGGAGGTCTTTTAACATAATGTTTCGACATGACCGTAACTTTATTAAAAATCATCAGTTAGTTTTTTAGTTTAACTATTTGTTACTATACGGGTATTACATCATACTGGGTTTTGAAGCGTTTTATGAGGTAATTGACCAGCAATACAATAATTCCAACAAGCAAAATGGTACAACACAAAATAAGGAAAGTTATGCGACCATCTGCAATTTCTTTACTGGAGCGTGCAGTTGATATCGTAGTTAAATTCGATCTTAAATCGGTACTCGAATTTATAACTGAATGCGTAGTTGAATTCGATGTTGAATCATCCGTAATTGAATCAGTAGTTGAAACCGTAGCTAAATCCATAGTTGAATTCATAGTTGAAACGTTAGTTGGAACGGTGGTTGGATCGGTAGTTGAAACGGTAGCTGGAACGGTAGTTGAAACAGTAGTTGCAACAGTAGTTGGATCTGTGGTTGCAATAGTAGTTGGAACGGTAGCTGGAACGGTAGTTGGAACGGTTGTTGAAACGGTAGTTGGGACGGTTGTTGAAACCGTAGTTGAATTCAAATTTGAAATCTTATTTGAATCCATGGTTGAATCCGTTCTTGAGTCCGTACTCAAATCCGTACTTAAATCCATATTTGAATACGTAGTTGAATCCGTAGTTGAATACAATGTGGAATCATCCGTAATTGAATCCGTAGTTGAATCTGATGTTGAATCATCCGTAATTGAACCAGTAGTTGAAACCGTAGCTAAATCTATAGTTGAATCCGATGTTGAATCATCTGTAGTTGAATCCGTAATTAAATCAGTAGTTGAATCCATGGTTGAATTCGTAGTTGAAACGGTAGTTGGAACTTTTTTCGCCTACGACAATATTGTAAATTTTATATTATGTAAGATATGATAATTTTTTTTTTGTGAACACATACTTTTTTAACCATATTGGGGAGTTTGTCAGTATTTTTTAAATTGTGTCCATAAACAGAGCTAGAAGCGCACAATACTAGGCAGACCAACATCAGGTGATTTTTAATCATATTTATATTTTAAGTTATTCGAACGAGCACTTTTTGGAGTCAACCTCTCTGTTGTCCGACAAGAATTAAATTAAACTTTCAAATTTGCCTGCATTTCTAAAGAGCTCATTTGGATACCGGGTAATTGTAATGTCTATGGGCATGCTATATTCTAAGGGGCTCATGCAACATTAATAAGCCTGGGCATTTAAAACTAAGAAAATTTTAAAGGTCAGAGAGTCTTTGTTTGCTTTAACTCGCCCTCTTTTCTACGTTAATCTGTTCATTTGATTGTAGGATATCTCATTGTCGAGCCACTCGACTATACCATTCATTTTATCGCCATAAGCGGTTCTTTGCGATAAAATATTGTGCATTAATTTAATTAGTCATTATGTACATGTGTGTGCCACTGTGCCAAATATTGAAATACATATAAAAGCCGCCAAAAAACTTCCTGTAAAAATGTACGACAAATTTTTCACAAGAAAGCGAAATCTTTTTTGATATTTCCAGCGGAAACATGCAGACTGACTTCCCTTTAAAGCAATGATTGGGTTTTCCCCTTTTTCTGCAAACAAATTTGGATGAATAATAATTGCCTAAGCTCCATTGAAGACCTTATTCAAGCTGCTTGAAAAGCAAACAAATAGCATTCACGTTTTAAATAAATGAGATAATTCTTGCTTTTGGCTTGCTGAATGTTTTATTAAGATCTAGTTTATTAGTTGTTGTGTATAAATTTAAAGGATATTAGTATAGATTAGATAATGGTCTACAAGCAGTCCGCATAGATGGCTTCGGTCTCAAAGTGGCGCCTGGAGGTATAAGCTCGGTAGTACTTTGTGGCTACTGCAGCAAGGGCCGCTCCAAGGACGATTCCGGCGCAGGAGCCCATGATGACCATCCACTTGGGACTGGATGTTTTGCTGGCCTCCAATCTGACCTCCGCCTCCGATTGCGCTTTTATGGGCTGGACCACGCGGCAGACGTAGCGCGTCTCCTCGGAGCTTGAATCCTCGTCGTCAGAATCGTCGTTCTTGCAGATCAGCTGGCCACTTGGCAGATCGCAGTGACAGTAAGCCAAGTTAAGGCACGGCTTGTCCTGGTTGTCCACGCACACCTTGGCGCACTTGGCCGTGCTCAGGATGCCCTCGTCATCGAACTCGATCCAGCACAGGCAATTGCCACTGCAATTCGAGTGGTGCAGAAAGTCCACGGAGTTGTCGAGTTTTGCGGCAGGAGTGGTTACTGGGTCCCCTGCTCTTTCTGAAGTTGTGCTGTCGGATGTGGCAGGTGTTGTGATGGCTTCTGAAGTTGTTTCGTGGGCCCTAGAAGTTTGGGCAGTGGTAGGCTGTGGGGTACTTGAAGTAGTCGTGGCTTGTGGCCGACAGCCCTGATCGGTTTTCTCGTATCCCGCCCGACAATGGCACTCGTCCGGGGCCACGCAGTCGCCGAATTCACAGCCTCCGGTACAGTGAGGCTTGCAAGTGCTGGCCGAGGAGTTTGTGTGTCCCTCCAGGCAACTGCATTCACCTGGTGCCGTGCAGGTTGCGTTCACGCAGCCATTCTGGCAGATGGGCTGGCATACGGACTTGGCCGGATCCATGTCGTCCGGTTGGTAGCCCTCGTGGCATATGCACACATTCGGGGCCATACAGTCGCCGTTCTGGCAGCCGCCCTCGCAGATCGCCTCGCAAACGTGCTGCGAGTTGTCCGTGAAGCGATATCCAGGATCGCAGGAGCACGTATCCGGCTGGGTGCAACTGCCGTGCACGCAGATAGCGCTGCAAGCTGGCTCGCAGATCTCGTTGCGACCCATCAGGTAGCCATTGTTGCAGACGCACTTCTCCGGCGCAAAGCAGAACCCGTTTGGACAACTCTTGCTGCACTTGGGCTGGCACTTCCTGTCCACTCCGGTCTCCTCGTAGCCCGGATAGCACTCGCACTGGTTTGGTGCCACACAGCGCCCGTAGTCTGAGCAATCTCGTTCGCAGTGCGGCTCGCAGCGATTGCCGTTCATCACGTAGCCGGGATTGCACATGCAGACTTCCGGAGCGAAGCAACTCCCGTTCTCCGGACAACTCGAGCACTTTGGCTGGCAATTGGTTCCCCGCTCGCTGCCGGCAAATCCTTGCTCACACTCGCAAACTCCTGGCCTCACACAGCGGCTGTGTGGGCCACAGCTTTCCTCGCAGATGGGCAAGCACTTGCCCTGCCCATCGACCTTGTATCCTTTCGAGCAGGCGCACAAGTGCGGCTCCTGGCAGTAAGAGTTTTCACCACATTCGGGGTCGCAAGTTGGCTGGCAGGCGTTTTCAACCATTTCGTAGCCGGGTGCGCACTGGCATTTACCTGGCTCCGCACAGAAGCCATGATCTCCACATCCCTCGTCGCAAACGGGCAGGCAGTTTTCCCTGGTCGATTTCCGGTTGTAGCCATTTTCGCAGCTGCACTGGTTAGGTCGCTGGCAAAACTCGTTCTTTCCGCAAGCTGACAAACAGATTGGTTGGCACTCTGATCCGCCGTAGCCGTCATCGCAGGTGCAACGTTCGGGGGCAGAACAGTGGCTGTTGGCAGGACATTTCTTCTGGCAGACTGGCCTGCAGTCGTATATGGATCCCTCGTAGCCGGAGCAACAAGAGTATTTCGGTTCCAATCTGTAGGCGATCTGGAGACAAACAGACATAGTTCAATCACATAATCATTACTATGAATTTCGAACTAAAGGTAGTTTTATTAACTTCAGTTAATCCCATTTACCTGATCTTCATATCCGCCACTGTGCCTATATTTTGTCGTGTAACCAGTAAAGTAGGAGTATTGTTGATATGGCACAAGTTTAGTTTTGTAAACTTTTGCCATATACGAAACTTTTGTTTGAACAACGCAAACGTTTCTCAAAGAATCCACTAGACGGCAATAAGGGAAGACAAAAATAAGTGCCAACAACACAAAATCCAGAGAAAACGGAATCATGACTGATGCGGCTTCCTATTTATATAATTTTTTAAATTGAATGAAAATCTTTGGCAACCACTAGGCACAATGTTTCGAATTAAACTGAACCATTAAAATTTGTGGTGACAGATTATAAGCACATCCGTCTTTCGCAGATTGAACTTCATCTCGCAAGTAATTATTACGAGCTTTAATTACGTAATTTTGACTCATTTGATAGCTTTAAGGCAAAAATTAAAACAATGGAATTTTCCAATAACATAATCGACATTTGATGGTTGTAAACTAATTATTGGATTACTAAACTAAAGAAAAGCTTTTTTACTTTTATCAATAGTTTTGTATCATTGAATGCCCAAAAACATTTTACTAACCTCGTCTTCATTGTAATATTCAATGCGATATTTTGTCTCCCAACCTTTCCAAAAAGAGTGTTTCCGGTATGATACCCATCTGCTTTTTTGGGTCGGGCGTTTATATGTAACCATCTGCTGGTCATTACAAACGTTTGGGCCGTGGGCTCTAATGGAGTCAACGAATACTATCAAAAAGACCAGCCACACCCAAACACATCGAAACTGTGACATTGTGCAAAATTCTGTAGCGTCGCTATCTCTATAAATAAGTTCTGTATAACGATCCAATTTCAACTGAGCTCAAAATATATTAATATTATTTAAGTTACTCGAAGTTCAGCTGCAGCTGTCGAGCTTGAGATAAACTAGACTTTTAAAGCTCGTATTTATCTTTACAATAGTTTTTCCTGGTATTACATTTCAATTACATATATATAAATAAATATACATTTTGTAATAACATTAAGCTTAAACAATAAACAGAAAACATAAATTTAATAATTTAAGTTAATGTGTTTCGTATATAAAAAAATATGGGCAAAGATTGAGATTATGCATTCCACAAAAGAAATAAAGAGAAATGCAAAGTTTATATTTCAAGGAATGTTGCACATACATTTTATTTAGATTTAATTTTTATTTTGTGAAAATGTTTAAAGTATTTTACTTTTCATAATTGAGAGAACAAAATTAACAATATTTTTCAAGTAATAATTGTGCTTCTTGTATTCGGAAATAATGAGTTTCTTTGGGATTTTTTCAAACTAAACGTCGTCATCAGCCTGGCAAATAAAGTGCTTTGTGAACTCACAATCCGACAGCCACAGTGGGGCATCTTCTCTGCCCAATGCTATGCAGCTCGGAAATCCGAAATAGTAATTTGGTTCTCCATCTGACCACTTCAAAAAGGCTGGCTTACCAGAGGCCAATGACACGAAACTGCCCTTTTCTGCGTGATCGTTACTGCCCAGCCAGTAGCCATTAAGTTGTTCAAGTTTTTTGCTTATAGCGTTTTGCTCCTCTTCGTCTTTAATCGAGGCCAGATGCCCCCCCATTTTCCGACAGGTTCTTGCAGCAGTTTTCCAATCCTGAGAAAGATCCTCTTCAATGTAAAACCTCCTTGATCCTATCAGCTGGAACTTCGGGACGGCGATTGAGTTATTCAGTACCGCTTTTAGTTGATCTTGAAAATCTTCTAATCTGGCGGCGAAAATTTCTTGCTGAGCACTCATCTGTAAAATGATTCTCTCCAGTGAACTCTCAATTTTAGAAAGCGTTTCATTAAAGGCTTTTTGTTCGGTTGAGATGCAGCGGGTCTCCAGGTCCTTCGGCACAGTTTCAATATCCTCACCACTTTGGGATCCTGTCAAAGATCCATAACAAACGCCAGCAATTAATACAAAAAACAATAGAGTTAGAAGTCTTGCCATTTCTGTGTATTTCAAAACGGTTGAAGCGTTTAAGATCGGTGTTTGAAGGCAACTGAAATTATATTGCTTAATTTCATGTCTTTATACGCGTCTGTCTGCGCTTATCAATGATGTTTTTGTATTGTTTTGAATCGGTCCGGAGCAATACAAAATAATTTTGGGCTAAATATTATTTGAGATCACGTTGACCGTTGATAACCTTTATATTTTGAACTTCTGTTGCCGAGCAGATCGGCTTTTAATCAGAGGTATTTTATATTAATACAAAAATCATAGACACTCTTGCAAATAGTGTTTTAATATTTGTCAAAACATCAATAAGAAGTCAAACAATTTTTGTTGATTTCTAAAAAAGGCATTGTCACTCTTCCAATTTTGCAAATCATGTAGATATTTCATAAAACTATTTTGCTTAACATAGTTCGTAAGATACACACTAGTGATTTAAAACACTTCAACATACACACATAATTATGCTAACGTTCTTGCTTTTTAGAAATATTGTATCATGAAATATCAATTTTCTCAATGCAACATGGATTTTATTGGTGAATTTCATAAGGGCTCCCCTGGTTGCAACAGCAAACCCGTTTTTATAAAACACGATTGTAAACAAATACTAATTGCTTGATATTAAAATTGGCCGCCTGCAATAATGATTAGCTCTTATCTGATATATAGATTTTCCCTCTCCCTCAGTAGCGATTGTTATCACTGTGAGCAAGCCAGTCCATGTTGTGGCTGGAAATCTCTCCCTGGGCACTGGGTATCAAAGCCCAATGAGCAGCTACAAATAGAGCGGAATTGCTGGTTCTCTCGCAGAATCGACACTGAGTTCTTCGCGAGTGGAGGTGTATTTGAACGCGGCGAGAATGATTTTGATTACTTTGACCCTGGGTTTGTTAGCGGTCTGGCTGCTGTACGTCGTTTTCACATGGAACTACGACCACTGGAGAAAGCGAAGAGTGCCGGGTCCCAAGCCCAGGCTTTTAGTCGGTAACTACCCTAACATGTTTACCATGAAGCGACATGCCATCTACGATATAGACGATATCTATAGGTGAGTATCCAAACTAATGGGATATGGAACATTCTGCCAAGAATGTTTATAAAGTAAACTTAAGTTTAAAAGGCTCAGGAAATAGAATGGATTCTAGATGCCGAAAAACATATCTGGTTTAGTTTATTTATATTATTATTACAATTTTTTAATTAATGAAATTGTATTGATTTTTTCGATTAACTTTTATCAAATGTTTACAATTTGATAATTCTTTTAGGCAGTACAAACACAAGTACGACGCAGTGGGAATTTTTGGCTCTCGAGCTCCACAACTGCTGGTGGTCAACCCGGAGTTGGCTCGTCGCGTTTTCGTGTCCAACTTTAAGAACTTCCATGACAACGAGCTGGCCAAGAACATTGACGAGAAAACCGATTATATTTTCGCCAACAATCCCTTCTCGCTGACCGGCGAAAAGTGGAAGTCTAGGCGGGCTGACGTGACCCCTGGTCTAACAATGGGACGGGTAAGAGAATTCCATTTTTTTACCATATCTTGATATAAATATAAGCAATGCCTCCCACAGATAAAGACGGTCTACCCGGTGACAAACAAGGTGTGCCAAAGCCTGAGCGAGTGGGTGGAAAAGCAAATACGTCTGGGCTCAACAGATGGTATAAATGCAAAGCATGTATGTATTTTTATTACCGCTTATTTGTAAGTAAAAGGTTGTTTTGTGTTCCTACAAAACTATGTATTCCCTTTTAAGGGAATCTATTATCGGTCAGGTTTGTAATTTTTACTATAACTATTCTTCTTAATTTCTATAACTTTTAAATTGTAATAATATTTTATTTACATTTTTATTGTTTATAACACATTCAAAATTTTAATAGGTGGGAAAAATACTTTCGGAGACATAGACTTTGGAAGTCGCTCTATCAATTTAATCTAAATTCTTATAGAAAAAAACTATACAAATTAAATTAAAAGTATGTATGTTTCAGAAAAAATCCGCCAATAATTAAAGTTTTGTATCTCTTTTAATTTGTTTTTCGTTCTATCAATTGCGTTTGAGATAAACTAATTCGCCTGCTGAAGTACTCAGTGTAACGTGTAGAGCTTTTTTCACCTTGAAATAATTATAATTATAATATGTGTAATAAAACCCGTTTTGATTTGCTCCACACCCACAGATGAGCCTTTGCTTCACATCAGAAATGGTCACCGATTGTGTTTTGGGTTTGAGCGCCGAAAGCTTCTCAGAGAAGCCCACACCCATTATGTCGCACATCAAAGATCTCTTCAATCAGCCCTGGACCTTCGTGTTGTTTTTTGTGCTAACCAGCACTTTTCCCTCGCTAAGCCATTTGATAAAGCTGCGCTTTGTACCGCTCAAAGTGGAAAAATTCTTCGTCGATTTGATGGGCAGTGCAGTGGAGGCCCGTCGCGCTCAATTGGCGAATGGAAAACAGTTCGAGCGATCGGACTTCCTGGACTATATCCTGCAACTGGGAGAAAAACGGTCCCTGGATAATCGACAGTTGCTGGCCTATTCCATGACTTTTTTGCTGGACGGCTTTGAGACTACGGCCACGGTTTTGGCCCACTTGCTGCTCAATCTAGGACGAAATGGCGATGCTCAGGAGCGTCTTCGGGAGGAGATAAGTGGCCATTTGCAGGATGGCGTCATTGCCTTTGACAGGCTCAACGATTTGCCATATTTGGATGCCTGTGTCCAGGGTGAGCTGAAACATGTTATAAGCTATGATTTACTTTACTAAGTATCTCTTTATCTGCAGAAACCATCCGCCTTTTCCCGCCGGCCTTCATGTCCAACAAACTGTGCACCGAATCCATCGAAATTCCCAACAAGGATGGCCCCAGCTTTGTGGTGGAGAAGGGCACCACCGTTGTAGTGCCCCACTATTGCTTCATGGTGGATGAGGAGTTCTTCCCCGATCCACAGTCCTTCCAGCCAGAACGATTCATGGAGCCCGACGCGGCCAAAACTTTCAGAGAACGGGGTGTCTTCATGGGATTCGGAGATGGTCCTCGCGTGTGCATTGGTAGGTAGACATTGTTTATAATTTAGGAACTAAAATTGCCACAAAGTAAAAGACATTGAATGGATAACCTTTAGATGATGTTTTCATGATTTATAAAGGTGATACCACACTTTTAAAGTCACAAGTACTTAAAGGTTGAATTCATTTTAATATTAATATTTTCTTTTCCCGCAGGAATGCGATTCGCCACAGTACAGATAAAAGCAGCCATTGTGGAACTAATCTCCAAGTTCAATGTCAAGATAAATGCCAAAACTCGCAAAGACAATAAATACGACCCTGTCCAAATCATCACCAGTCTGCATGGGGGAATTTGGTTGGATCTCGAAAAGCTGTAGAGATGCAATTTATTCATCAGTCCGCTCAAAGCGACAAAAATTGGCAGTTTCCCAGTGCATCGCTATAGTAACATATATACTTCCAACGCGATTGTTAAGCTCACAACAGCTTTTGACTTTGCTTCTATTTTTTGTATACTTATATTTAAGCTTTTCGTTATTGAATATATTTTTGTATTTACCATAATTTGCTACTGCATACACAATGTGTTTGAAATTGGGTGTGACAAACTGTAAGTTTCTTGGTAAGGTGGGCCAATGTTAATGAACCTAAAATTACTGGCATAAGTAATTTTAGAATTAAATATTTATTTTTATAAAACTGATAAATAAATAATATCCTAACAATTCATCCTGCTAGCAATAAATAAGGATGATCAAAATATTGCTATTCTGAACTCTTATGTTTTAGATGTAGTTTGTTTAAATGAAAACATATTTTGCATTTTAAACTACTATGAACTTACAAAGAAAACAAATATTATTCAAGTGCATTTCATGGGATAAATGGGACTTTACCCTTTTACTTAAGCAATTTGTTGTGTGTATCTGTGTTGGATACTATGAACTTACAAATCAAACAAATATTATTCAATTGCATTTCATGGGCTAAATGGGACTTTACCCCATTGGTTTTCTCCCCAATTATGTTGTAAAAATCGTTAGACTAGTTAGAGCATAATTCTAGATGATCGAGCCCAGTGTGATTTAAAATAGCACGATAAGCACAATTTAATTGGCAAATTCAATGTTAAGGATCTCAATACGAGTGGACTGCACTTGGACTCGTATCGCAATCTCTGGGGCTATTGTTCTCCCTGCATTTGGGTTCATTAAACACATACAACGCACATGAAAGGCGATAGAGAGAGGAAAGAAATACGTTTAAATGATAAGCGCTTAAGTCTGAGTTACTTGCCCATTGAATCCATGGAAAGTCAATTGGTTGGTCATTTGTAAAGTGTGACTTAATGTGATCAGTTGCTTCAAGTCGTGAGCCAAGTATTAATTCCAAAATTAAATCTCATTATGTTTGTGCTGTTGTTGGTTTTATTGGGAGGTCTGCAGGTGCAGGCCTGTGTGAATCGAGTTCCGTGAGTAAAAACCTTTGAATTCTACATTTTTCCAACAAATTAATTAACTATTTTGTGTATCCCAAGAATTGTCAAAATGCGTGGCACTCTGGTAACAATGCGCAAGTACCAGAGTTCAGCCAACTGCACAACAAATTGTGGTCCATTGGTGGGAAGAACCAGAACTGAGGTGAGCTATTCCTTAAAACCAGTAAAAAATTATCTTATTTCAAAAAACGAAATAGTTTCGAATGAATTTAAAACTTGATTGTGACTGTAAACTTTTTACAAATATGTTTTTTAAGTATTGTTTTTAATGAGTGGCTTAACTGAATAAAATAAAGTTATAAAATCGTTAAATTGTTTAAAAACAACAATTCAAAGCCAAATAACTGAACTTGGTCATGAAGTTTTTAAGATAAAATTTTGTAGTACAATGTAAGTGTTTAAATATTAAAATTGTTGTTTCTAGTCTTATGCATATGAATTTGTTCGTTTCACCCTAGACATACACGGGATTCCATGACATCTGCTGCGAAGGCTATATACGAAATGATGACAAGTAAGTCTAACATATATATGGACACACTAATTAACTAGCTAAGTTTTTGTTTAATCCTTTTTCAGTGAGTGTGTGCCGCAGTGCAAGGATTGCGGGCTCTCGGGCAAATGCCTTACACCAAATGTGTGTCTGTGCGACAAGGGCTTCTCGAATCGCCGGGATCGCAGCCACTGTGAGCCGGAGTGCAGCGAGTCCTGCGTGAACGGAAGCTGTATGGCTCCGGACGAGTGTGACTGCCTGCCGGGCCATCGATTTGTGAATGGTTCCCGGACGGAGTGTCAGCCCATTTGCGCGGATGACTGCACCAATGGGCGCTGCCTGGAGTCGGGAAAGTGCCAGTGCAACGCCGGTTACCAGCGGAGTGAGAGCCTCAAGAAGTGCGTGCCCGTCTGCCAGGATGCCTGCTACCATGGCGAATGTGTGGCGCCCAACGAGTGCCGCTGCAATCCCGGCCACGAACAGCGATTGGGCCAACCTTGGATTTGCGATCCGGTCTGCTCGAGCGGCTGTCCCAACGGAAATTGTGTGGACGCCGAGACGTGTCACTGCAAGATCGGCTATGTACACAAGGACCAAGCCTTGGCTTCGGGCTGCGAGCCCGTGTGCAACCCATCCTGCTCCAATGGCACCTGCATCTCGCCGGGCCACTGCTCCTGCTTCGAAGGACACGTCTTTGCCGAGGGGTCTCGACACGAGTGCGTGCCCAGCTGCCGCTCCGGCTGCGAGAACGGATTCTGCAGTGCCCCCGGCCGCTGTGAGTGCCACGAAGGCTTCGAAAAGTCCTCGCCGCACCGCTGCTCGCCCACCTGCCAACCGCTCTGTGGGCGCAACTCCCGCTGCACCGAGCCGGACACCTGCGCCTGCGAACTGGGCTACGTCTTCGTCAACGGCAGCACCACTGAGTGCGAGCCCTTCTGCCCCAGGAGCTGCCGAAACGGCATCTGCAGCAGTCCCGGCGTGTGCACCTGCTTGGAAGGCTACCAGGTGGGCACTCAAATAGTTTTCCTGATTTCTAACGGAAGAACATACATTTTTTAAATTTTTCTTTCGGATTGCGTAATATACAAAGAATTTTTTTTCCTCAAATTATTTTAGATATTTTTATTTAAGAAGTTGTTGAATTTCTTACTGGTGTTTAGTATGTTTGAATGTTTTAAACGATAATTTTGTTTAATATGTTGCAAAAATATTTAAGAAAATGTATTTAATCCGTTTAGCCTCTTAGGAGAATATGTTTCCATACCCTCGATTCATATATCTTGTTGTTATTACTTATATATTTTTATTTTACAAGGCCCTGCTCTCATTCTACTGCATACCCATCTGCACGAGGTCCTGTATTCACGGCAGCTGTGTGGCGCCCAACGAGTGTCGCTGCTTCAACGGCTACCGACCAAGTCCCACCCAAGGAGCCAGTGTGTGCGAGCCCATTTGCAGCCAGGACTGTGGCCATGGTCGCTGCATTGCCCCGGAGATCTGCCAGTGCGATGTGGGCTACGCCAAAAGGTGGCCCCGGGGAACTTGCGAGCCGTACTGTACGCAGAAGTGCGTGAACAGCCACTGCGAGGGATCGGGTCAGTGCCGTTGCTACGAGGGCTACAAGATGAGAGCCGGATCTGTTTCGATCTGTGATCCGGAGTGCTCGCCGGCATGCCGGAATGGCACCTGCGTAGAGCCCAACAGCTGTGCCTGCTTCACTGGCTACGAGGACACCAAGGTGCCGTACGAGTGTGTGCCTACCTGCCGGCCCAGGTGCGAAAATGGAAGGTGCTCAGCCCCCGGACAATGTGACTGCAATCCTGGCCATATGGTCACCAACTCCAGCGAGCCCCACTCATGTCGTGCCCAGTGCCGGGAGCAGTGCATCAATGCCGAATGTCTGGAGCCGGAGAAGTGCGTATGTCTGCCCGGCTATCGATTCATACCCAACAGCAGCACCGAATGCGAACCGATTTGCTCCAAGGGATGTCGTTCTGGCCAGGAGTGCGTGGCCCCAGAAACCTGCGAAGGCGCCGACTCCCTAATTAGTCCCACAACTGGCAGGCACTTGGTCTTCCACTGGTTCATGTTCTTCCTGGCCATTCTGCTCTGCCTGGCCCTGGTGATGACTCCACTGCTGGTGCTCAGGGAACTGCAGCGGCGACGTCGTGGAGGCGACAAGCAAAGAACCCATCTCATCGAGAACCCCTCATATGGAGTGGTTCAGGCCAACAGCGAGGAGGCAGCCAACGAACTGGGGATCGGACTAGGGGATTAAAAAAGTAAGAAAATCTATAGGAGCTCAACAATTCCTTGAAAATTATCTCAAACAGCCATAGACGTAAGCATTAAGAACCTTCTAAATATATTAATGTGAAATACATTTTTAGCCCTTGATTTAATAGCTTAGATCTGTTTTTGAACTTAAGTTGTCAGAGAAATGATAGCTGCTAATATATATAATAATATGTATTCATTCATTAAAAAAATCGATAGAGAATATAAAAGACTAAAATCAATTTCGACCAAATGATTTTCCATTATAGTTTTTGTAATATCCTTTAAACTTCATATTTGGGAAAAATTTTGCTTTTTAAATGGTTTAAAGTTGAATATTGCTTCTGTAATTTTATGTATCTCCAAATTGTACAAATTTTTAGTTTCCCGAAAATTTTTAACGCCTCAGATATAAAAATACATCTTCCTGTATGTGGAAATAGTTTAATTTAAATGTTTATGGCTTGGTTTCGTTTACAATCGTCTCGTTCGACAAAGTTCTACACCGAAGGATGCTTGGCATCATCGAAAATAATACACACATATATAAATATATATATATATATATAGATATTCTAAACATGTATGGTTAAAAGTTATGAACGTAATCTACCGTAATAAATTATGCAATACATAATACTCGTTGTCAACTTTGGCCAGATTCTTAAATTATTGTCATGGTGTGAATTTTTTTCGCTATAAAAATAATTTTTGAAATAAACTTTGTAAAGTGGATTTAAAATATAACAAATAAAATATGTGCATATATGAGTGCCTTATAAAACATGTGGTAATAAAAACAATAATTTAAGAAACTGGACTTGTGACTGATCCTTTCAACGTTGTTATCCTTTGGGCTCAAGTGCTCGCTTCCAAGTGATTCAATTGGATCCTGATCTTAGGTGTGATCTAACTTAACAAATTGGCTACTTAATGCTACAAACATAATGCTTTTAGTTGCCTAAAGCGTGTTTTTGTTTCTTTTGTGTCTTTACTAGCCTAAATGCCAAATCCTTTCAATCAGCTGTTAGCCCTCATCCCAACCCCGTCCCACCCCGAATACAATCTATGAACACAGTCAGCTTTTGTCCTGTTCCCTTGACCCTACAGAAAGGTCTCCTCCCGGTTGGCTCTGCCCATTCTCCGCCAGCGCCAGTCCCACCATCATGGTGGTGCGTCGTTGGGATCGGGTGGTGGCTTCGCCGGCTGCAGCACCACCGGTGGTGGAGTCGTCGTGGTTGTGGCGGCTGTGGTGGGTGCAATGAGGAAGCCACTCGATGCTCCAGGCAGTGGCATGCCCAGGAACCCGGCTGCTCCCGTGTTGGCCGAGTCGCCATCCTCCATGATGACCGAGCTGTCGGCAGCCGAGGGTATAGTGGGCAGGAAACGCACTCCCAGGCGCGGTGGCGACGAGTCCTCCTCCTCCTGGACCGCCTCCTGGCGCACCAGTCTGGGCTTCACAGCATCCAACTGGGCTTTGCCGTTGTGGGCTGAAAACGGATTCATCCAATAAAATAATCACTAATTACGAAATTGTATATTTTCAATGACAAAACAATGTAAGATAAAATTAAGATGATATTTTCAAGTCCAAAAAAATTATTTATATATAATGAGGGTAAGTTATTTCATATATAAAATCCAATATCATAAATAATTAATTAATATTTACAAATATTAATGTGATAGTTTTGAATAGATCAATGTAAATTACAGTTTAAGATCAATTCTACATGTTAATGTTTAATGTGAGCGAAGACTAAGATGATCTTTTCAAGTTCGAAGAAATATAAGAAATTGTATTTTAAATCGCCATAGTCTGCATTCTACATTAAGACCGTATTAAGTACTGGTACTGAATTTACATACCTATGATCGAGGGCAGGGGTGTGCTGCTGCCGGCACTGGAGCGCGACAGGCGGAAGGTGGAGGTGCTGGCGGTGGTGGCCGAGGCGGAGGAGTCGTTCCGCGAACTGGACAAGTTGGAGTCCTGCGACGTCTTGCGGGTGATGAGCCAGGCGGAGTGGCGCCTCCGCCCATGACCGTGCGGATGGCCATGGGGCTCCAGCATCTTTAGCGGCATGCTGCAGTTGCCTGGCGGTACGGGGGCGGACGAGGGCGGTCCGTGTCGCCAGCTGGATGACCTCGAGCTGCAGAAGTTCTCGCTGGAAATGGAGCTGGCTCGATTCTGGCGTTGCTGTCGCAGTTCGGCGAACTGGTACTGATAGGGATTCGCAGCAGCCGCAGTGTAGGCTCGCTGGCGTCTCTGCTGCGGCTGCCTTCGCTGCTTCCTGCGCCTTCTACTCTCCCCGCAGCAGAAGGTCCTCAGCCGCTGCCACAAACTCGGCGTCTGCTCCATCTTATGCCAATTGGGCATCTCGCTGGGCAGCATCCGCAGGCAGCGGCAGCCTGGTGGATGAGCCACTGCCGTAGCGGGCAATAAAGGTGGCGGTAGTTCACCCCTCTTTGTTCGCGCCACTGCGCCACGCCCACCCTGCCCACCGCCGCCCACAACGCGTGACTCCTCAAAGTGCTTGCACAATGTCACACAGTCCTTCTTGAACTGTTTCGTCATTATGGCATAGAGAAAGGGATTGCAACAGCTGTTCAGAGGCAGCACAAAAACCGTGAATATCTTGGCCTGTTCCAGCGAAATTAGCTGCAGGCCAAAGATGGCCGTGATGGAGAAGAAGGCGATGGGCGACCAGCAGAGGAAATCCGTGAATACCAACAAGGCCATCCGCTTGGCAATGCGCGAATCGTTGGTATTCCATGCCTGACTGCCCCTGATGGCCCAGTACATCTTCAGGTAGCAACCCATCAGAGTGAGAAAAGCACACCCATTGATGAACATCAGTGAGATCACATAGGTCAGGCTCGCAGGTCCAGTGGTCGTCTCAAAGGGCAGGCACACGGCAAACTTCCTGTAGTCCGAAACGCCGAGAAGAGGCATCAAGGCCATCAGCAGGGCGAAAACCCAGCCCACACTCATTATATAGCCCGCCTGCTTCAGCGAAAGTCGCTTGTTCAGGTGAATGGCATGGGTGATGGCGTAGTTCCGCTCCAAGGTGATCACTGCCAGCGTGTAAACGGACAGCTCCGAGCTGAGGACTGCCAGGAAACCGGACAACTGGCAGAGCAGCGACATCTGCCACGGAATGGCGAACATCCGGAACTCACCCAAGGTGGCTGCATCCACGATGGCCAGAATGCCCAGGTAGATGCCCATGAAGAAGTCCGCCGCAGCCAGATTGCAGACCAGAAACCGCGGCACATCCATCTTGGAGCGCGAGCAGAGCAGCACAAAGACCACTGTGCCATTGCCCAGAAGGGACAGCAGGAAGACCACCCACACTCCGCAGCGCAGGGTCCACCAGTCGAAGAGATCGGCGCAGGGCAGGAAGGGTCCTGGCATCGGTAGGCACTGCACCGATCCCGGCTGAAAGTCCTCCGTGGACATGCCCGAGAATAGACCTGTTCCAAAGCCATATCCCGTGGCCGGACCACTCACGTCGTGCTCCTCGAAGTACTCCTCCATGTAGCTGGTGGCGATTTGTCCTCCAGTTTGCGACTGCAGCTGCTCCTCGTTGAAGTTCGCAGCCGCATCCCATGGATCGTGCATGGCGGCACCCAGCTGCTTGCTGAGATTGTCTGAGGAGGGAAAACATATTTCAGAGTAATTTCTTTATAATACATTCTACTAATGACGCGACTTTATCTCATACGGATTTTTCTAAAATGTTATTATATTTTTTTAAATTACAAACATTTAAGGGCCTATAAAATTAATTAATTTAAGTTTTTTTAAAACATGAGTTAATGCTAAAGAATATTTTTAAGGAATTGCTATGATTTACCTCTTAAGCATGGTTTAATAATGCCTAGTCTGATATCTTATTACCCAAAGTCTTTTTTTGAATTTTTACTCACGCATTTGGGGCCAGATGTTCATCATGCTGTTGTTCCACAGGGTCATGTCGAACTCCGCGTCGGAGGGAAAGAGCACTGCCTCCTGGACCTGGGAGGTTTTCTTCTGCGAGGACATGGCCACCAGGGGCAGAAAAGCACAGCAATGGTAGGCATACGATAGAATGAGTGTTTGGATCCGGGGAAATGTGTCGGGTGGCGGAAACTCCCTAAGTTTTGGATTGTTGAAGGTCTTCAGGTGGAGCAGAGCACGCAGTCCCGCTTCGGGCAGTTCGGGAAAAATATTATTGCCCAAATTGAGATCCTCCAGAGCGGTAAAGCCGGAGAAGGCCTCCTTGTGTATGTGCGAGATGGCATTGCCTTCCAGGTCACTGTGATTGTAATAAATATAATATAACAAAATACGCATATTTTCAGCTGAAATTGACCCACAGTAGTTGGAGCTTGGGAATGCCTTGAAAGGCATCTTGGGGCAGCGCCTTGATTCGATTGTAGGAGAGCAAAAGATCGTGCAACTGCTTCAGTCCGTTGAAGGGCTTCCCCTGAATCGTCTCAATTTGATTGCTCGATAGATCTCTGGTTGCAAAGAAAGAGTCGTTATATAAGAAAAATACATTGGGGGAAAAAAAATATTAGGGTAATTTTTGGGCACCTTTTAAAGTTATTTTAAAACACTAGTGATTTCTTAAGCATTTTCTATAGTTAAAAATGGTAGTACTCACAACAGCCTTAAGTCTCTGCAACTACTTAAATTTGGGATGCGTTTTAGGGAATTGGTTTTTAGTTCTCTGTGAATGAAATAATTATAAGCTGCACCCATGATTTTCCTTCCCTCTACTTACAAACTCTTCAGTCTTGGCGTTTGACGGCACAAATTCGTTGGCACCTCCTGAATGCCGGCTCGATCCAGTTTCAGTATCTCCAGGGCATGGCAGGCCTCAAGCTCCGGAAACGAGCGCAAAGTTCGCACATCCGACAGGATCCTGAGAAATCGAGGAACTTAATTTTCCTGTCACCTCAGTGTGTGAAAGGGCCAAGTGAAGTCGACCCCGAATGGTACTCACAGCTTCCGCAGCTTGGTCATTCCCCGGAAGGCGCCTGCCGAAATGGTCGACAGGGGATTGGCCCTCATGTCCAGCATTTGCATGCTCCTCGGCAGTTCGGTGTCGTTTATCCAGCGCAGTCGATTGCTGGTTATGGAACTGGAAGAGGGGGAGGAGGGAGGGGGAGAAATTTAATAAAAACGTTTATCCAATGCCAAGAAAAGTATCTTTCGGATACACTCTGCTGGCAAGTGGCACTCGGATGCAGCTGCATTTAAAAGTCAAGTTCTGCAAACAAGCCAACAAAGCCAAAAATAAACTGCGACAGAGCATACTTTCGGGCGCTCATATTGTTAACGTCTATTTGTGTTTCTTGGCCAACATTTTCGTGTGGAGGGCAGGAAATGAAACTGCAAAGTGTCAAGAAAGGTTAACCTAGATGGCAAGCTGGCAGGGCGAAAATTCGGTCATCAACCACAAAGCTTACTCAATTCTACGACAATTCCTTTAAATTTTCAAAGCACACAAATTAAGTTCCATTTAGATGTCTCTTTTTCAGCAAGTCTGCGGGTAGAAAAATCTTTTTGTTTATCTCTTCTAGGTTGTTGCACTGACTTGGCTTGACTCCCATTCTTTTACGATTGGAGTCAACAAAATGCAGACGCTTACTTGGTGCTTTTAATCCTTTTAAATTTGATTTTTTGTTTGTGCCACTTTTGTGTGGAACCACACACATGCTCCTACACTCGTACAAATTTATTTACCAGCTTAATTCCCCAATCATGGATGCACTGGCACTGGCTCTGCAGATGCAGCACAGCGTGGCTTTTATCGCAACATTTAACATGCTCATAATTATCCTGTTTACCAGAAATTGAATTTCCTCGGCGAGTTCTTGCAATCGCAAACGATGTCAGCATTGCAATGACAGTTGCTGCTGTACCAGCGATGTTGCTGCTGTGCTCCTTCTGGAGTTCCTCAAGATGGCGGGCGTGTGACAAAAACAAAATGCAACTCGCAGTCCTCGTCGATTCGTGGTTGGCAGGATATCTGGCAGGATATCGACTAGAGAGCCAAGCAGGCTGCGGTCGGATGTGGCCATAAATTCGCCAAGTAATGATGCGTTATGATTTTCGGTTTCCGCTTGCTTGCGGCCCCACAAAGTAGGAAATGTTGTGGCAAGTCAACATCGCCACTGGCAGCTGCAATTGCTCCCCATTCTCTGCTTTGGCTAATATTTGTCCAACACCTGTGCTCTCATTCATCTGATATACTTACAGCTCTTGCAGTTGCGACAATTTGTTGAGTCCCTCGGGCAGACTGCTTATTAAATTATCATCCAGCTCTCTGCAAAGAAAAAATGGTTGGAGTTGGTTTGAAATACATTCCTTGATTTCGATTATAGAAATTGAGTTGCAAATTTTGCTCTCGCATTTTATTTTTCTAAGAAATCACAGCCATTTGCATGACTTTGTTTGGGGGTCAGTTTTGCTACGTGACATCACGTAGTTCCAAGCGGTGGGTTTTCCATTTCCGATGGGGCGACTCGTGGTAGAAGATGCAAATTTATGCGTAAACATAAAGTTTATGGGGATTCCTTAACAAACTGCTTTGATTTCAATTATTTATAAAATTTTGCAAAACAAACTTGATATCGTAGAGTGAAAATGGCCTATGGAAAGTTGCAAACTAAAGCAATAAATACTAAATAACATTTGGTATTCACATTCAGTGGTATTATACCCAAATATCCTTTACATTTACAAATTAATAAATACTAAATAGTTTTTGCCTAAGCATTTAATTATATTAATTTTACTGTTATTGATATTTAAATAACAAACACCTTCTTGTATATTTAGTAGAACGATTTTTTTCTGTTTCTGTTGACCTTTTTTTAGCAACTTTAAACCCACTGGGGACCGAGAACAACAGATGCTCTCGCCACCAACTTTCGATCTCGTTTTCCTCCTTATGTGACCCACTACAACTCCACTTCTGGTGGGCGTGACTTGGCTTCCATAAATCTAGGAGCAAACGCCAGTGTGCACACGGAATATTTCCCCCATTCTTGGTGAACGTTTAGATTTACGCGTTGCACGGGAGAAGTTTTTCACTTTCACTTGATGCATTCCACGCCCCCTTTTTAGTCCCGTTCGAAAGAGAATGGGACTCTGTCAGCCACAACATAAATTTGCATATTTGTCTGCTGTGGGTGGGAATGCGAATACCAAAACGAATATGTGGTGGATAAGGAGCCGAGCGAGCGGTTTTTATGGGCCCACGGAAAACCGTGCAGCGCAAAAGCCAAAAATGTGCGGTAAACAGCAGCGCAGAACGTCAACGCTGGCGACGACAATTTAAGCTGTCGGATCCGAAGCACGCTGAACTTAACGCGCAAAGGGAAAAATGAAAGAAAAACGAAAAGTTTTCCACGCTTTTGCTGTAAAATTGAAATTTATTCGAGCCATGGCCGCAAAACGGATAAACACCATTTCCACTTGCCACTTGGTGCGCGCTTGAGGTATCATCGTTTACTCCACTCTTGGCATTTTTAATGGGGTATACAGTTTATTTCGATTAAAAAGCTAACGATTTTAACAAAGATTCCAACCCTTTATATTTAAAGTTATTATAAAATGAAATGGTTAATTAACTGAAGATTGTTTCACATCATATTTTTCAGCATTTTATAGAGCAATATATGAGATAAAATTTAGGGTATTTAACATTCGGCTTTCTTTATTCGAAAAGAAATAATTTTTCTATTTGATATCAATTGCAATTTTGTGGGTCGCCTTGGTGTCAGTGGCTTTATGTCATGTCCCTTTTGCCCATGTATATGTTTGGGTTTCCTGCATAAAGTTCTTAAAGTATTCGAAGTTCTTTCGCATGGTTGTTGCTACTTACAAAACTTTTAAGGCGGTTAAATTTTTTAGAGCTCCCGCGGAGATTTTCATGATTTGATTTCGCTTCAGCAAACTGTAAAAACGAGGAAAAATTAATGCTTAAACTTATGCACATGAATATGGGTGGCAGGGGAGACATCAATTACTTACAGCACGATCAAGTTTGGCATTCGCGGAAAGTCCTCGTCGTTTATTATTGTCAACAAATTGCTGCCCAAATTGCTGTCGATGGTTCAAGTGTAAGGAGAAAACAGAAATTATGAGCAATCGCATGGTTTTATGATCCCTTAACTTTCGTTTAAAATTCAATTCTTTTTGTGGCTTGAGTAAGTTTATAGATTAAAAATGGTAATAATCTTGGTATAGAGGAAGTTATGGGGTCAATGTTCGACATAGACATGCACATAAAATTATTATTATTGGCTGTGGTTAGTTTATATGGGATTTATTGTTGAATGGCTGTCGTTTATGTGGAGTATTTAATCAATTGGTTTTTCAATTTAATAATTTGCTTTGTGTTTCAGTAGTTTTGGCTTGTAAGCCAATTTTCTAAGCCCATAAATTAGTAAACATGTATATATGGAATTAGATTCAATACAAATTTCCATTCCCCCCGCACATTAATTAAACAATTAGCCTAATTGGCCACAAACCTTTACCGAATTGCATGCCAAAACATAATAAAAGATTTAGAATGCGCCAACAGCAACATGGATTAAGATATCAAACCAACGTAAGGTAAAATATTTGGTTACTAATTTTCTGAACATGCAGGATGATAATTAGTTTAAAAAACTCTTTATTTGAGGCAAGTCAAAGGGCTCACAGTGCTTCGAGCGTTCTGAGTCCGGCCAGCGCATTTGTGGGAATTTTATAGAACAGATTGCCCTCCAATCGCAAGGTGCGCAGTTTCTGCAGGTGGCCCAGACAATCGCCATCCAGGCTGACCAGGGCGTTGCCATTCAGCTGTCTGTGTTTTTTTTTTATTTTAGCCATTGCAAAAGTATCAAAATAAAGGGGGAAAACAGCGCAGAAAAGCGAAAAATATGAGAAAATAGCGTGTAATTGCTCGGCGGGTGCATGTGCGTGGTGTGTGTGTTCGTTGGCCCGAAAACAAACAAATTCATCCGGCTGAGAAGTCCTCGCGGGGCTACCATCAGCTACATCCTCTCTCGCGGCGATATCCTCAACTTAATTGCAGTGCTTAAAAGCAAACATAAGCGTCCACCACGTACATACTCACACTCAAACACACACACACATCAGGGGCGGAGGGTATTTTATTATTTTAAACATTTTTGCTTGCATACTTACAGGCTGGTCAGCTGAGAAAGTCCTTGGAAGGACTGCGGTGGCAAGGACTTGAGGCCACAGTTCTGCAGGCTCAATCGCTTCAATTTGCCCAGGCCATAGAATGCATTGGGATCCATATTAATGATGCTATTGTCGGACAAAGTTCTGCAAATAAACCTTCCCTTGGTCAACAATGATAGTACAAGTATAACCGGCGCATAAAGTCAAACTAAAGTCGTCGAGGGCCAAAGTGCAGGAAATTGCAAGGATAGCAAAGTCGGGAGTAATTAATCGTGCCAACTCGCTGAAATATACAGCGTAATCAAGTAATTTATATTACCAAGGGGCAGGACTTAAATCGGGGGTCGGGAATCAGCGGTTTGGTCAGGATTGGGTCGTGTGTTGACCGCTGTGATTTTCCTTTTTTCGAGCATGGCTTTGCTGTGAAATTGAATAATGAGTTGCAAAGCCCGGCGATGGCAACTTTGACTGCTGGAATGACGAAAGTTTTTATATTGTTGTCATATTTTTACTCTTGTTGCTGCAGTCCGGGTCCAGATTAAAATGGGGAAGTTTTGCGGTTTCTAAAAATACCCCAAGGGAGTTGGGTGGGTGTTCAGAGTGGTTTTCACTGCGGCTTAATTTGGAAAGGGCAGGATAATCTGCACCATGAATGAAATTGGTAAATTTATCATTAATTAAATGGAACCATAAAACTGCAGTGCTGAACGGAGTTTATGTAACATTTTTACAACATTAATCAGGCATTTATACTCACAGCTCCTCCAGATTGGGTACCATAAAAAATGAGTTTGCCTCCAACTTGGTAAGGTTGTTGTTTCCCAAATCTCTGTTGGTGAAATGAATGACAGAAACAAAACAATAAACAAATTAATAACTGTATTGAACCATCCTCGGATGCCAACATTTCATCTATCAATAAGGCAAAAGGAAAACATTTGCCATTGCTATGAATTGTGAACGAGGCTTAAACGTTTGGTGGGATGAGGGGAAATCTCGGTGGGCCATCAATCAAACTGGAAATGGCGTAAAAACAAATTGTGCCAACCCTAGATCTCACAGCAGCGGAAAATGGCATAAAAATGAAGATGAGCTGTTACTTAGGAAAGCCAACGTTTTTGGCAAAATCAGAAGATACCCATTGAAAGTGAATTTTACCATCTAGGTTGCAAGTGATTTTAATGACTTATGACTTGTGTCTCCGAGCGATGCGTTAATTAATAAATTATTTATTTATGGACCGTTCGAGTTGGCCATTAATCAGTTGAAACTTTGGCTTAGCCAAAAGCGGTGCCCAACTCCTTTGAGAGAGCCCGTCGGCGGCAAGAAAACGTGACTCACATACGTGAGCAATGACGATGTGACGGTGACGGTGATGACGATTGCGAAACGCTGCACAACGTGGCGTATGTGTAATTAGATTAAACCGCATGCCAAAATCGTCCGAAACCGAATCGGACCGAAGACTGCGAAATTGACTTGTAATTATGCGATTTGCGGAATTCCAGCAGCGGCAAATGGTTCAATATCGCGTACTGTGAGCCTGCTTAATCGCTTAATAAGGGGAAGTTTTGGAATTATTAAACGATATCATTAGACAGCTATCCGTGGTATTTGGCAATAGGGATTTACTTTAAGAAAGGCATTTAAGATTTGTCCAAGCTTAAAGGATGGAATCAAACACAGAAAATTTCATTTTAAAGAAATTATTATTTAATCCATTTTTGTTATTTAAGTCTATATTTTCGTTTAATATTTAAATTATTCATAAGATGTTTATAATTTGTTGATAATGATTATATATGGTTTGAAATGATTTAATAAGAAAGGTTTTTCTTAGTTTCTTGTAATGCTTTTTTGGGCTTATAATATCGAGTACTAAATTTTGATATACTCACAGAACGACCACCTCGCTGGGCAGGTTGACGGGCACCGCCAGGATGCCGATGCCGCGGCAGCTGAGCCGCAGGACCTCTAGGCTGCCGCTGCAGTGGCAGTGTTTCTGCAACCAGCGTTCGCAGACAGCGTGCAACGTTCGCTTGCCGCCGATGACGTCAGAGGAGGAGGAGGCGGTGGTCAGCTGGCTGCCGTGGTACTCCTGCAAGGACTTCTCGTACAGGATCTGCGCCTCCCGTTCGGGATCGGCCGAGGGCAGCATCACATTCTCCCTGATGCCCGAGGGCGTGGCAGTGGATGCTATTGCGGTTCTATTTACGACAAGTTGTTTGCTGGCTTGTTGATGTTGATGCTGCTGCTTTAGGTGGACGTGATTTTCCTCTACTGTTGTTCGATTTTCTTTGGTTTCATCATGGCCCGTTGCTGCTGGCAGCAAAAGCAGTCGCAGAAGCAGAACACAGAGCGCCAGGCGCCAGCTCCAGCTCCAGCTCCAGCTCCAGCTCCAGCTCCAGCTCCACCGGCATCTCCACCGGCAACGCACTGCCATCGTCGCTGTCGTCGCTTTTCTTGATTGATGCCGTCAAGCATTTGTCATTTGATGACAGTTTTGTGTGCGATTCGTTTCTCGCTCATGATTCTCGGCTGCCGTTGCGGTTCCTGAAACTTGCCTCACTCACTTCTCAGTCGCAGTTCGAATTTATTTCATTCACTTTGCATTCACTTTCCGCTTCAGTTGCACTTCATTGTTGGTTTGGTTGTGGTTTGCTTTGTTTTTTTTTAAATATATTATACGGCAGCAAATGGAATTGCTTGCGTTTTTACGCTTAACGTAGCTCAAATGCAGCGGTTTCTCGGGTTATCGAGGTGATTGATGCTGTCTGAGGGGATGCGATAATAAGGTGTCAGTCACAGTTCTTAAATTATTATACATTGGCTTTTTTACGGTAGTTGTGTGGTTTGTCTAGAGAATTTTAAGCAAAAGGTAGTTACTGCCAATTGACTTGCTAAATCAATGTATATTAAACGATAGGTTGATATTATAACACTTAAATTAACAAAAGGAACGTTTATTTTAATTTAAAAGTGTTGATACATTCAAGTTTAAAAAAGATTTTAAAGTTCATTGTTCAAACAAATTGGCACTTATAAATTAAATGCTAATAGTATTCATGCAAGCTTGTTAAAACCGAAAGATAGATTTTATCAACCGCCACATTTGTGCACTATTATAAACTTTTTGTCACATTACCCTTATCACAGCAACATAAAAGAAAGTTTTCCCCCAGAGCTCATAACGTACAAAATTAGCCAAACAGCCCATCAAACACTTCACATAAACAATGGACCCAAATCGCTAGTTGGTCGAAACTCGTGGGCACAGGACCGAGCCTTGTTTCTGTCAGAAACAAAAGGCTAAGAGCACAGCACACACAAAGCTGATGAATGACAAATTTGACACAGAATGTTTCCTGCAGAATTCGGGGGCAAGGCCCATTTTTCACCACTATGCCCGAGTCATAATTAATGAGTCTGTTGACAGTTTTAGATTTGCGATGGGCTAAAGTGTCGACGAATCGTTTTTTTCATACATGTGCGCCGGCCAACTAAATGAATCTTAACTTCACATTCTGCGCGCCCGTAATGTCACTATGATGTGTTCTGTGCAGGATGAGGAAGGACAAAAATATGTCCAAAAATAAAAGAGATTTCCCAGCACGAGACACCGACAGCAGTACGTCCACCACCACTTCCACCTCCACCGCGAAATGGCTCACACTTTTGCCGGATGATTTATGGCATGTTTATGTTCCACTGACCTCGCCACTAGCAACCGAAAACAGCAACAACTGAGCGGATAGTTGGGCACCGTGAATAAAGCAAAAATATACGAAAAATCACGGAAAAATAGTTGTCAAAGTCGACTATAAAATACCTGCTTTATATGCATATTTATTTTTATTATTTTAATTTAAATTCAATTTATTTATATTTTTAGTTTAGATCAACTATCTTTCAAAGTAATTAGTATGAACAAAATAATCAGAAATAATAATAAAAACAAACCCAAAACACACACTTTTGTTAAATTGCATAAAATTCTATACCTCTTCTTTTCCAACTGCTGATTTAACTCGAGAAAATTGTTACATATAATATGCAAAATCAATATACCATTTTAATCTATTAGAATACAAAAATATCTCGAATGATGACGACGATGATTTCAATTGCCTCTAATCGAATCTGGGGAGTATTTTATGGCCCTGCCAATTCTCATTCATGAATAATAATCTGTTCACTCCTCTCGTTTTTGTTAATTGTAAACAAACATCGATTGTTATTAATTTATCTTGAATATCGATTATAAACACTTTGATATTTAGTATCTTTTATGGGAATTTGAAAGAGTTTGAACAGGTTGGCGACAAGGTGTTGAAAATGTCTATGTACAGTAAGAGAAGGCCAATAATAATATTAATAGAAAATAAATGGAATCTGTTTTGCTTTATTGAAGTCTATTGTTTTTCTTCACATTCCCTTCTTTTATTCTCCCTTAGCAACAAATCTTTGAGGCAAACTTTCAAGCCACCCCAACCAAAAACTTAAAGCTATCTGCAAACGAATGGGAAAATTCAAATATTTACACCCTGAGTTGGGTGTGAAGAAAAGAAAAAGGTAAAGCAAAACAAAACAACAAAATAAAATTGGTGGCGGCCAAATCAAAACCAAAAGGCAGGCAAATGCAAGCACACGTTTTCCAGATTGGGATTCTTTGGCTGAAAATTGGCAGGCTGCTGAAATCGTTTTCCATGACTCTGGAGTAGATAGCCGCAAAATCCTGGCTGCTGTAAAGTGTTTCTAGTTGTTGTTTGTTCGTTTGTCAATAACCTTTAAAAGGACTTGGTTTACCTATGACTTGAATGGCATAAATGGGCTCTAGGTTCTGGCTCGACAAAATGTGTTTTATATTCAAAGGCTTTTTAAAGGGTTTGAAATATATATTCTTACTTCAAACGGTTGTTCAGAAAAAATTTCCCCAAAAATAGTTCAGTTTTAATTTCTGACCAAAAATTTAAATAATATTATATATCTAGTAATTAAAATCTGTTATTAGAAACATATATTTTATTTTATCAAACTTCATATTTCACAACTTCTCTCAGTTTCAAAGATTCTAATCACGTCTATGTCAATTTTCCGTTTCTATTCAATTTGAACAGATCTTAATTAACTAATTATATTGCTATTAGTCGCCTGGCTGATTAGTTGACATTGAGTGAGTATTGTGACAGATCAATCTCACTGTTTATCACATAATCGTTAAAGCGGTTTATCGCAATTTTCGCTGAGCCATGCAAATTTTCACAGTTGAATGATTGCCAAGTCAATCGTTTCGGTATTTTACGGATTTAATTGTCACACGATTTTGTTGTGACTGTGACTTTAATTGATATATGGTCAGTTAACACAAAGTCAGCCGAGAGTGTTTTTCGGTTTTCCACGCACTTCAATGCCAATCCGTGGGCAACCCACATAACTCCGCAGAAGGCTTCAAAAATTCATGAAAATCTCATAAATTTTTGCATTCGCAGCGATTAATTACAAGAACCCAGACACTGACACGCCCCAAAAAAGCATTTTAACGACGTGAGTGTGAGTGCGTCTGTGGGAAATATGAAAAATATGAAACCCGATATGGCAAGAGTTTAATTTTCTTGTCGAAAATTGATTTTGACATGGAGTGAATTTATATTTCCCCAAAAACAGAGAGCCGGCAAACTCTCAACACGAGATGCAAACTTGTGTGGCTTGATTTAATCAATTTGAGCTCACTTGATATGTAAAAGAAATCAATAGTCAATACGAAAAACACTCGAACGTGAGTGCGTTTTTCGTATATTTCTGCTGCTTGTGTGTTTTTTCCAAGTGCACCTCACCAAATACAAAACTGGATTTTCAACACAAAATGCAACTTCAATTTGCCGCTGTTGTTGCTGGTGCTGCTGTTGCATTTATGCTGTTTTACACTGACCTTGATTCATTGTGGGATATTTTCGATTTTTTGTTGCTTTTGGCTTTTTCGCGCTCGACTTTATTAATGACAGCTGTTGCATAATTTATTTAATTTTTTTGGCGCGCTCGAATCTGTTTTAAGAGCAAAATAATTAAATGTGATTTCTGTTTAAGGAGAAAATCAATTTTCTACTAAATCGACAAAGGCGAAACGTTGCTGATGACTATGAAATTTAACTAATTTAATAGTTTTCTATTCTTATAAGCAAGGTATTTGCAAAACTTCAATATGAAACACATATTTCTTAAGACAATAAAATACAGAACAGAAAACGAATTTAAATCAATAATTAAATTGCTTTGAATTCTCTCATCAATCCATGTATAATTTTCTGAATATAAATCATGAACTGAATTGTTCCGAGTTTGTATAAAAAATCCAAATATTATTATAAAAAATGTTTAGCCCATAAACTGAAAAAAAAAATGTTTATATATGCAGAAATCTTTTTTAGACCTGCCGAGCAATTATCTATTTCCCCAATCGAAGCAGAGGCCACACGAAAGATCACACCTCCCAGCCGCTTATTTTGTGGCCTTATCCCATTGATCGGGGCACTTTTGATCGCTTTGATCTCGGGGCTCTTCTCCTTTGGCCCATTGTTAAGATGCTCACATGTATTATGCGGTGTTATTGTTGTGGGTATTGCTATCGAATCGATTTCGTGTATCTTTCAGATGGCCCCAGGGAAGAACTCGCTGGCAGCTCTCATTATTGGCGATTATTCAACTGTTTATTTTATGGCTTTCTCATTACATTCTCCTCAGCTGTGTGCGGTGCAAATTGGCAGCGTCATCGCCATCATAATCGACCTATTAGCCAGAAAGAGAGAAGGCTTCTTATTTACATTTCATGCTACTCAGTTTTATTGGCAGTTTGGGTCAATTGTCTGCCAACCGAAATGTGTCTGAAATCGTTTTCTGATTCTTTGTTGGATTTTCCCCAGAAAGTAATTAATGCCCGAAATCTTGACCCTTGATTCGCTTTTTAAACTTTTGTTCTCCGTCATTTCCTTCTTATAATTTCTGGAGAAATAACGTGCATGCAAGCAACTCATTTTGGCAAATGGAAATGCCACTTTGTTTATTATTGCTATTTGTATCTCTTTTCGGTTCTCTTGGCTGGCAATCAATAGAATATCGAGCACAAAGGCGGCTGCCAACTGGCAACTGACCTGAAAATGTGTCCAAAACTCGATTAAGTAAATCGTAGCATTTCGGGGGAGCCAAAGAGATCGGAGCTTACTTATTTGTGGCTATCTTTAGAAGAACGTGACACAGCTGCAACCATTGATTACGCATACGACCCGTTGAACCCAGTTAACTCTGACCACTGCACTAGACAACAATACCCCAAAAGTTCCATTCTCCCTCTTCTTTCACTGTTTTGTTTTGCTGCAGACATTTTTATAGCACCCAAATTGGTAACGGTCGAATGAGTGGGTGAAGATGTCACTAGCAGCCCACTGAAAACGGAGGAGGTTCCCCTTTCTAGCACCCCTCTATCTGCGTAATTGCTGACTGACACTTGTGGTTTGCTTATAACCACTTCAAGTCACTGGGCCTGTGTGATGCTGGCACTTTAAGTACATAAAAACAACAGGGAATATCTGTTTTTGCAGACTTCATAGAGAGGTGATATGAAATGATATGTTTGCTATATTAATAGGTTTAAATTTTCAACTAAAGAAAAATGTATACCAAAAAATTTTTGAAGCAAATTAAAGACAGTTTTAAAACTGTAAATTCAATTTATTGTCAATTCTATTCTATTAGCAACATAGACTACATATCTTATCACCAA